CGCACTGGGCCCCCTCGCCTGCCTCACCGCTCAGGTGGACGAGATCAACGGCTGCTCCAGGCTTGTGTTGGTGAGTGGCGGCGGCGGCTGCACGCTCCACTCAGACAGCATTGATGGCCCAGCACGTCCTTGCTTGCTGGACTGTATTGTGCATTCCTTGGATCTCTTCTCCCGAAGATGCTTGATGTAAATTTCGATTTAAAGCTTTCGTGACTGCAAGGATTCATCTTCTTTGGTTCTTTCGGTAAAGTCACGTAGAATGAGAATAAAATAATAAAATAAAACAATAAAATTCTAACGACGTTTCGGCCGCAACACAAGTGGCCTTCTTCAGGTGAAAGGAACAACCTGTCGGGACGACAGAGCTACAAACGAACAATGTTCGTCCCGACAGGTTGTTCCTTTCACCTGAAGAAGGCCACTTGTGATGTGGCCGAAACGTCGTTAGAATTTTATTGTTTTATTTTATTATTTTATTCTCACTCTACGTGACTTTACCGAAAAAACCTATGAAGATGCTTGATGTAGTTTCAAGCTAAATCCTTTAGTTATCGTTAAGTCACCACCTGACCCTGAAGGTCTGCTTTTCAAGTGTCCCACCGTCCAGCTTTTGGGTGTGCACCTCCAGTCCTGCGGCACACGTGGGAACGGAGATTATTCTTTTGTTTCCAAACTATTTTGTTGATGTCCGATTCGCTGAGTGATTGAAACGATATTTTGCGAATTTTCGGACAGCCGAGCTCTATAGCGCGTGCTACAATAGTCCAACTTTACATTACATTTAATTTTTATGTTTTTGACTTTGTGTGTGTGTGTGTGTTCAAAGGCCAATACCCTGGACAACATTGCATATGTGATGCCCGGACTGTAAGAGAGATGTGCTTTCAAGTGCTACCCAAGAAGAAGAAGCTTAAGCGAAATTTGCATAACTTGTACATTGATGTAGACGTTCTGGTAAATGTGGACTCCCGACTTATTCGTTTTTTAACATTTTATTCGCATTTGCTTGTATATTTGATAATCATTGACAAGTTTAAAACTGAACTGTGGTAAATGAAGGAGGGTCGGGCCATGGATAAAATCATTTGTCAACGAGAGGAATTCACGCAGCACAATCTGCAGGCTGCATGCGAGGCCCTCGGTCACGCTGCTCCACGTTGCGTGCACGACGTGACCCAGGATGATCCCGCGGGAACGTACACTTCACTCGGAATCAACTCAATCTCATCTCTCGATCACCATCTGGAGAGCACCTGCCACTCAAAGCCACATAATCATCTCTTTCCAGCCTGTGGGGGCCAATAGGTCCATGGCTTGTTGACAATGGCCCTCTGACCCCGCCGCGTGTGCGCTGCTGTATGGCTGCCTAAGACCTCGCCCTTATCTCCAATGCCTCCTCACCACTCATGCCTTTCACCCGTATTTAGGTCTTCCCCCTCCATAATTTTCCTCTACCATAGTGGCGAATGACCACGATGAAAAACTTAGATGGTACATTATGTACCTATGTTGAATTTCTTTCGCAACGTACGTAGCCAAATCGAAGGTGGGAAACCCTTAGCAAATCAACAGAAAAGCTGTGGACACTTCAATCTCTGCAAATGTATCGATTTAATTTTGATCCATAATCTGTTTTGCAGGCAAAACTTAACTAAATTGCTTATACTGCATAAAAAATAGCCCCGACTTTACATGCCCATCATCTATTCAGTGAACCGTGCGCTATAGAATTGTAAGATACACATACGCTATCATAGCATGTTAATTTTCAGTGTTTTCCATTGTGTAAGGAAGTCTTGTAATCAAACATCATTTTACGTATTTAGTGTTATTTGTGGAATATTCCTAGATCGCTGTTGAATTTAACTTCAGACAAAAGTGTACAATAAACATTTAACTTACAATGTCATATGAGAGATGCTTAAAGGTCAATTTAAAAGTTTAACCTTTGAAGCATTTTTAGCTTGCATGATATCACATTGTCCATAGTCACACATGTTCTATATGTCACCTTTTTATAATGTGTCCGGAGTTTTAAAGAATGTTGATAACACAAAACGAAAAACATTTGTAATAAATATTTTGCAACAATTTAATATAAAGATGTTGGCTCTTGCACCTTTTGTGTACTCTGCGAATGTATTTTGTGCTTGAATATGCATTTGTTCGCACGGTTTATTAGCGCGGTCTCCTACCAGTGGCGCATGCCCCACTCGTGGCAGTAGTCCATGAGCCCAGACCACGTGTTTCACTTGTCGGTACCACACGAGGTAGCTTAACATTCGTGGTTCCATTTTTTTTAAGGGGCCAGTAACAGTGACGTATGTGATAACCGTTTGAAGTTAGTTGGATATCAAATAATTAAGTCTAGTTCTAATCCATACTCTGGTTCTTTCGGTAAAGTCACGTAGGTAGAAATGACCTGATGATGACCGCTTGTGTTGCGATCGAAACGTCGTGATTTGTTTTACTTTATTTCTAACTACGTGACTTTTACCGAAAGAACCAAAAAATATGAACGTTTAGTTGTATAAAGCGTCGTCGTTCACGCATCTCACAATCGCTGAGGAACCGCAGATATGCTGGAAATCCAGTAGCCAGGCAGTGAGCTCGCACCAGCAATTGCCCAAGCTCTGCATTTCTCTATATCAGAGGTCGGTAACCTGTGGCTCTTTAAGGACTGCTTCATGACGTTATTTATTAAGCACCACAGTCTCGTATTCACCACATGCATTGCGGCTCTTGAAACAATGAGTTTTTGTTAACCGAAATCTAAAACAAATTCTACAATTGTTATTTTGGTGGCCGACCCCTGCTCGATATAAAACTGTTTTTGTTCATCTATTGGATTGTACCCAATTGCTAAATGTGGATTGCTCTCCACCGCTGAAGCAAATACATTTGTACGTTTGTTCACTTGATAACTTCATCAAATGGTTTCATCGGGTGGAGGAGGATGTATGACACGTTTTACTTGCACGATCTGACTCAAATATAAATTACGAATCGTGATGTGCTATTTTTGGTTTTGTGGTATGTTATCTTGAGATTCCCATGCTGCCTTCAGCAGATTAGAACATTTCCTGTTCCTCCGAGCAGATTTCGATTGTTGCTCCGAGCAGATTTCCATTGTTGCTCCGAGCAGATTCCCGCTGTTGTTTCGAGCAGATTGGAGATTTGCGGGTTCCCAGGGAGAGGCTTCTGTTGGGTACATGAATTAACGGTTCATCGCCCACTCTCGATCGCTTCTTCTATGCGACGCGAGGTCTCGGGAGAGCAAAGCACAACGTAGTCGTGGTAATACTTCGCATTTATAAAGCGTCTCTCTACAAGGTGCTCAGAGCCCTGTACATGACAAATACATCAATCGTTAGACAAGGCTGATAATAATGGCTCGAGCTCCGATGTTAAACCCACCGGACCCCGCGGCCAGAGTGCGCGAGGCGTCGGGCCACTGATCCCAGTTCCATCGGGGGTCGACCGCAGCCACCGTGGACGTGGAGACACCAAGCCTGGCACGACTGGAGCCGCAGTTTGTCATCCAATCGTAGAGCACAATTTCCGACAATCACATACCCTCCTTGGGGTTCAGTTCATGACATGAAGGGAGGCCACTTCATTTGGAGTTGTGTAAGGTTTAGGGGTTAGTGATTCGGGTTTGGTGTATGGCATGGGATCACGGTCAGGGTCACGATTTAGGAGTTGTGGTTTATGATTTGGACTTACGGTTCGGGATTTCTTGCCCCACACCTCCCAGGACCGTAAAGGTGTTAGCCTCAGGGTTACCTACCTCGTTGAACATTTTGAGAAACTACAGAGGATCAAAAACTGCTCACCCTTCACATGTCAGAGATCCACATGTGTCGTGTCATTTTCCCAAAAATACCCCTAGTCCTGGTCAATAGGCTTAGGGGCGAGCGAGTGATCTGCTTGCTTCTCAGGAGCCTCTATTCTCGGATATATTTTGGTGGATCGGCGGCGCAGTGATCAATCCATTGCGCTACAAACCTCAACAGATCCCGGGCCTCCCCGTGTCTTAACCAACCCACACCGACAGGCGTGGAATGGTCAAACAACTCAAAAATTAACACGCCATGGGAAGGCCTTCATCCAGCAGTGGATTAATAAAGATCTGCACTTGGCCTGGCTATATAGCACATTAAGGGACCATATATAATTATGATAATTAGAATGCTGTTCTGCGTTCATAAACATATTATCGATTTAGTCTTGGGGGCCGTCCATAAATGACGTCACGCGATTTTGGACTATTTTTGACCCCCCCCCCCCATCGTCACACATCGTCACAAAAGGTCACACCCCCCCCCCCCTCAAATATGACGTCACAAAGCTCTGCCCCCCCCCCCCCAAATTAAGTAGAGCGTGTTGTCTATATGTATTTAAAGTTGCGCATTTTGATGTGACGTCACATTTCTCACACACCCCCCCCCGTCACTATCGTCACAAATGCCTGACCCCCCCCCCCCCCAGGTGCGTGACGTCATTTATGGACGGCCCCTTGGCCTTTTTTCATACTTTTATCCAGTAGCAATAATAGTTTCAGCAAGACAACTCAACGCGGGTTTCAACCTTGTGGGTTTTATCGTAAGTCAGCCTTGTCGAAAATGCGTCTGGATGAGCACGTGTCACCACGTGGCAAGAGCCCCCCCAGGCACAACCACGGGGGGGGGGGGTCCTCTTTAAAGGGGCACCTTGGGGGACCCGCGGTTTCACGGGGGGTCTATTTGACGAGCAGATGCAACGCCCGCAGGGGTCTGGAACCTAAGGCGCGGCAGCCGCACGCGGCTCTTTAATTAGTGCTCCGTGACGTTATTTACCAAGGACCACCGTCTCGTGTTCACCACGAAGTGCACTGCGACCCTTGATATATCGAGGGTTTGAACGAATTCGAAAAAAAATGCCTCTCATTGTTATTTTGGTTGCCGACCCCTGGCCAATCAGAGACGGGGTGACGGTGGCCAATCAGAGACAGGGGTGACGGTGAAATTGCCGCGGTCCCTTAGCTCAGTCCGAGTCGCGGGGGCGAGAGGAGGCTTCGCAGTGAGTCGGCCGCGCTCGCGGCCCGCGCCTCCGCTCGTTCTCTTCCACGCACAGCGAACGTTGAACCTCTCCACTCGGCACACAATAAGCTCCTCGGTTAGTTTGCGGTGTAGTAATGCGCACATACACGACAAGCGCGTGTCCTTTGCGTTGTCACGAGCGGTGTCGCACACCCTGAGCACATCCTGGGCCTAGTCTCTAGGCTTCGTGTGGAAGTTGAAGCAAAATGCGTTTAGTAATCGATTATTAATTGGCGTAAGCGTTATAGTGATTACGTGTATATGATGGCACGTGTTTTAGATGCACAATGATATCTGTCGTGCAGGAGTGTGCGCGTGTGCACAAAATGTGCAGGTGGGAGCGGTGGCGCAGTGGTTGGGGCGCTGCACTATGAACCCAGCGATCCGAGTTGGAGTCCTAGCCACGGCTAACATCAGTGGCGATTGATATCTGAACCAGCCTTGCCCTCAGCATACTGACCAACACGCAATGACCAGCGTGGTGAAGTATGGTCAAACAACCCCCATGACTAACAATGGCGTGGTGAGGCCCTCATCCAGCAGTGGATTGACAAGACGTTTTCATTAGCACTGCATTACAATATGACGAAACGCAGGGTAATCCATTCGTAGTTACGTATGTATGCTGAACTTCTTTCGCACCGTACATGGCCAACCGTGACAATAGTATGTGCGGGATACCTCACTAAAATACTTGCGACAATATATTATAGAGAAAACGACAAATCAAAGCCAATACATACCTACCACTAATTCCGATACACATTAACATCCAAACACCCGCCTGCGTTAGAACGAGCCATCGCTATCACGTTCAATCTGCTTTTCAGAATAACCACGGGGACATTAGACTGATGTACAGTATATACTCACATTTATAATCCTGTAAAGTACTTTTAAATAACGCAGTCTAATCACTGTCGCAATATCGTAGGATAATTATTTCGCACGGAATATAAACCGCAAAAGTAGCAACTCAACAGTAATGAGAGAACTGATGTAAACACTGCTAATAAAACAAAAAAAGTTGATAATGCGTTGGCAGTGGTGCATACGGTAATGCCTCGATATATGAAGTAGATGCAGTCCTGGAGCGTCGTTCGTATATTGATAACCTATATCATTAGTACTTTGAGAATGCGTTCTGAGCCTTCGTAACTTGCTATGTCATACTATTAACACGTAATAACTTACCGTTCGCATTGTAAACAAAATTTATATTGAAAATAATATAGTCTATACTTTACAGTATTAACATTTAAAACTTACGAATAAAATAAAAATGTAAGATACTTAATTGCATTCTTATTTGTTGTACTGCAGATCGATAAATGTATTATCTAGTTCGTGATTTCAGTGCTTTTTTATTACCATTAAAAATAATGTTAATAAATCCAAAGTCCCTTCTACTGAAACTTCATATGTACGTTGAACTTTTTTTGCACTGTATGCAGCCATCTGCGCTAATCAGAGATACTGTACATATCATATATTCGCATATCGAGGTATTACTGTAATTACGAAAAAAACAACGCATTCTTCAATGCTGCCTTAATATAAAATATACGGTATGATCTCATTGAGATCAGAAATTATTCTGATAACAAGGACCATTGCCCGAAATGTATATTATTTATATTACTCTTTGGTTCTTTCGGTAAAGTCACGTAGGTATAAAATAAATCAAGATGTTTCGGGCGCAACACAAGCGTCCATCATCAGGTGGGAAAGCATGGTCTGCTGCTGAGGCAGACTGTTTTCCCACTTGATGATGGACGCTTATGTTGCGCCCGAAACGTCGTGATTTATTTTATTTTCTATCTACGTGACTTTACCGAAAGAACCAAAGAGTATGGATTCTTGCAGTCACGAAAGCTTCAAATCCAGATTATTTATATTGTTTTACAGCAGTGTTATTGGTAAATGTGCTGAGTTTTTTTTTGTGCGAGTCTACTATGTACATGTGTCAACGTGGGTGCGTTGATGTGTGTCAGAGCACTGGGAGGTGAATTCCCCTTCCGATGGACGCGAAGGAGGAGGAGCAATCAGTTGGTGGCTCTGCGGAAAATCCATCACCAACCCACGCATCGGAGCAACGGGTGGACGAAGAGGTGCCTCGAGATCGGAAGTCAGAGCACCGATCTGATGAAGAGGTGCCTCGAGATCGGAAGTCAGAGCACCGATCTGATGAAGAGGTGTCTCAAGATCAGAAGTCAGACCATAGATCTGATGAGGTGTCTCAAGATCGTAATTCAGAACACCGAGCTGATGAAGCTGTGTCTCAAGATCAGACGGCAGAACAACAGGGTGATGATGAAGAGGCGTCTTCAGATCAGAAGTCAGAGCAGCGGGCTAATGACGAGGTGTCTCAAAGTCTGAAGTCCGTAGTGAAGCTTTCAGGGCAGAGTAATAAACGTGAGTCAGATCGGCGAGAGCATGAGGATCAGGATGAGGAGACCCACCGTCGGCGAGGTGAGCAGTCCGCATTCGAGGAGCAACCTTCCTCTGCAGATCAACGGGAGCCTCGCTCGAAAGAGCAGATTGCTGAGGATGAAAGATTAGAACGTGAGGTTCAGGAACTTTTAAACGAACTCAAACCAGGTGCGGGAGCATTCAAAGATGGCGACTTGAATGGCGGGGACATTCGTAATGGAGATAAATATTCCAAGGGAGACTACGGCGGTGATGACCACAAGTCCAGATCACAGGTAAGATTTGTGAAGTATAATTGTAACTATTCGCATGCAACCAAATCACCCGGAATGTGCCAGATTTCATCATACCTTGATAGCGAAGCAGAATTGAGCATGTATAGTGCTTGGGTACATAAACAAAGGGCTGTACATTTGTAATGCTTTTCAACTAACGGTTAAACGCATAAATGCTTTCACTCTATGCATTTGCTTGCTCTTGGCACTGCTGACAGAAGGCCCTCTGCTAGCGGGAGCTTTGGAGATCGGGGCTGTACCTCTGACTTGTCACCCGACTCGCTTCACAGGCGTCGCGGATTCACGACGACGACGATGACTTCCAGTCGGAGAGCCACCGCAACCGTGAGCGCTGGCTCTTCCGCTCACGCTCTCACTCGCGCTCCCGCTCTCGTTCCCGCTCTCGGGAGCGCGACGGCACTGCCGTCCATCGTCATCAAGACAACCGCGCGTGGGAGCGCGAGGAGCGGCTGCGCAAAGAAGCCGAGGACTTCTGGGATAAGTTCGTGACTCTCGTAGAGATGATCCACATCAATTTTTTTTTATATATATAAAGTTGTCTTGCTATTGGGGCACTCGCCTTGTACAAAGCAGACCATTTTGAGCAGAAGGTTGCCGAGAACTTGATGAAAGGCAGCACTAAATATATTTGCCTTTTCTGTCTAGGGCATGATGACATCACACGCCATACACCTCTCGCACTGCTGCCACAATATTTTTTTTCCTGAGACAATATGATGTACATTTTGCCAAATGTACGGTTATTGTATAGGCTTGATCCTCTTATTTTTTGTTGTTTGAAAATCAGTAAGCGCATTTTGCTCAATTTGCGTCATGTTTATTTTCACAGGAGGCTTCGTCAGCGCAAGAGAATTGCTGAGAGGGGGTGCGATGAGCTCTGGGCCTTATCTCCAAAGCACCCCGCTCCCGAGTACGTGCCAATACGGGAGCGTGTGGTCTCTGATAGTGAGCCATGTCACAGTTGCTGCCAAAACAAATTGGCATACGGTTGTGCACCCAATGTTACCATTACCAGTTTTCATATTCACTAAGTGCCGTTTATTCTTCTTCCTCCTGACATTTTCTGCACTTGTAATGTCTACTTTTCTGCACATCTTCCTCCACACCGATCTTTGGTCATCTCCACATCCACATCACAATCAATCATATTCCTCATATAGGGTCTGCCTGCCCAGTCCTCTTTCTCCATTCTCTTCTCATTCCTGCCCTGAGCCATCTCTATGGCCACTTACCTGACTCGCTACCAGGATTCAAATATTTCTTTCCTTTATATATTTATGCATACGTGTATTGAGGACACCGTGAATTGGAACGAAGGAGAATTAAAGATGTGATAAATTTCATTCAGTTAGAGATGGAATATAATGAGGCTACTCTGAAAACATTGTTTACACATTTAATGATGTGAAATATATAGCTCGCACAGTATTCATTCACGACCAGAGGATGATTCAGAGACACGGGAATCACAGACAAGCAGGAAGGCAGCGCCAACATTTGTCCAAGCTCTGGGGTCCGATATTGACATCTTTGGCCAACTCCATTAATTAGTGTTTTATTCACGTGGTAGGAAATCTGAGTGTCCAGAGAAAGGTCACGCTTGCAAGGGGGATAACTGTCAATCTCCACACAAATGGAATACGGATGGAAATGATTCCACTTGCTGTGCTGTGGAATAAAAATATGGAAATTTTTATTTTGTTTTATTCCTGATGGAAACCCAATGCATAGGTGATTATTAGATAAAACACATGTTGGCTAATCAACAAGGTGTGCTTAAGATTTCTAACTTTTTAGAATATTGGGAACAATCATGTCCAGACTAGTAAAGCATATCACAAACATCTGCGTGTCCCCAGGAGATGATCGGGTGGTTCTGATGTCCAGAGTGTCGTTTCAAGCTGCCATAGGCGCTCATGGTTGCTCACAGCAAATCCGTGGCTGGTTAGGATTGCCCGTTTGAGCAGAGAGACACTTGGGAAATAGGCATTACAGTGTGACCTCAGCTATTGAAACGTTAGTGCTGTGTTTTTTTTCACTCGAGTATGGACTTGGTATGCAGCTGATGACAATCAATATGGATTTTGTGGGGGGGGTTTTTTTCAGTTCTGATGAAAATTCCCCTGTGGAAGTGGAACCATTGAAAAGCAGCTCAGAAGGTAAGAACAACCGTTACTGTCTGCACCATTACTATCTCATAGTGTGCATCTTATTCAATTATTGCCTATGGCCTATGGCAATAATGGGCAACAATAATAGTATTAATAATATTGCCTATGAGGTCTACTAGCCATGAGATGACTTCAGGAGAGAGTTTGTGTATTCTTAGTTCTTTCGGTAAAGTCACGTTGAAGGGAAACAACAAAATAATAAAATATATAAAAAACAATAAAAATTCTCACGACGTTTCGACCGTTTGGGTTATGGTCGAAACGTCGTGAGAATTTTTATTGTTTTATATATATTTTATTATTTTGTTGTTTCCCTTCAACGTGACTTTACCGAAAGAACTAAGAATATGAATTACTGCAGTCACGAAAGCTTTAAATCAAAAAGAGTTTGTGTAGTTTTGCCATTCCTCCATTGAGGGAGCGCAGACGACAGCTTTGACTGGCCACAATCACACTCCTGTGGCTTGTCTTTAATGAAACATTTGTGAAGGAGATGCACAAATCGGCCCATTGATGTTGTGATGCGGTTGATGGTCACACCGGTGTGCATCTTAAAGGGGGAAACTAATTACTCGATGAGTTGTCATGATTCAGGCCTTGCAATTTCATTCCAGAGTTAAAAAAAATAATTAATGTCACATCCCTTTCGTATTGTCATTTGTACCATATTTTGTTGTCTTTTTCCATCAACCGGATTGTACGTTAGCATGTAAAGTGCGTGTAGTTTTCGCAATATATGTGCAAGGCTGTGGCCTTGCCTCCAAATGCTTCTTGGCTTTGTGGGAAGTTCCCTTGAATGGGAAGTGACCTCGCCACACACTTCACAGACCAGGGAGAGAGACGTTTTTTTGTTTGCTACGACTGTGCCCGTCGTTTCGCTTCGTTCCGATCTGTGTTTCCACCAAGACGCGCTTACCGATTGCGATGAGCAACAACGCGATGCGTCCCCCACGTAGATGAGAAGAAAAAGAAGAAGAAGAAGAAGCGGAAGAGGAAAAAGAAGAAGGGTAAGTCCAAGAAGAGCAAGAAGCACAGGAAGGAGGAGGCGGGCAGTGAGGAGGAGAGTGAGAGTGAAGGATCTGCACACGAAGGTTTGTCCACGCTAATTACACGGTGCCTGGCTCTGTTTAAAACCAGACAACTCCCAATGCATACGCACACAGCTCTCGTACTGTGCGTGTCTACCTAGGTTGCACCCGGCCCGTTGGCTCAGCGGTCAATTGAAAAGTCATTTCTCTATAATTGCTTTTTGTGTTTAGTTTGTTGTCCTTCCCCCGCACCTCCAATTAACACGGTTGGCTACGTACGGTGCGAAAGAAGTTCAGCATACACACGCGTGCACACAGAGCGCGCGACTCGCAATTGAAATGTTACGAGTTGAAATCCTGATTGGTGGTTTACTCAGCCGAGCACCTCTCCAGCGTTCATTGGAGATCCTTCTTGCCCCCACCATAGGAATGTGGAATTTCAACACTTGCAAAGGGCTGCAAATAGTTTAGCACCCCCTCAATTATCATTTGAGCAGGAAATCCCTTTTGACCCTGGCTGTGGGTCCCACACACACACACTAAAAACAGACAGAATCATGACCCCGAATCATGATAGTTGAATGATTCATTACATGCCAACTGCGCCAGGGCCATCAGGTGCAGTTGTATTTTGTATTTGGATGCGTTATAAATCTAAAATGTATTGGATTGTATATAATCAGTATGGGCTGGAGGGGGTGATGCGTCTAAAAACGGCAGAGTGCCACGCAGCTGAAACACAAAAGATAGCGACAGCGGGTGCACTGTCAGCTTGGATCCTGGCCATTCCCATCTGTCTTCCACCACTGTTGTATGTACGTTATGTATGCGTGGCTATATATATGTATGTGTGTCATGAGGAGCAGTGGCATAGTGCTTAGCGGAACTGGATTAAGAACCCGGTAACCCGGGTTCAATTCCAGACCACGGCTATCATCTGTGGTGAATTATATATTTGAACTGGTCCCGGGCCTCCCTTAGGCTGACTCAGCCCCAAAGGAGTACTTGGAGTGATGTGTAAACAATATCTCTTAGGAGACAAAGGCGGCTGGGTATGGTAATTGCCACACTGTCAACTTGTGCACCGTTCTGGCCTTAATAGGTGCTTGGTTACAGTGCTTGCCCCAACAGTCTGTTAAGCTTATACGGGGGATTGTTGTTTTTGTTACATCGGTTAGTATGAATTAACTCCACCTCCACACTCATCATTGTGGGTTGAATGTTAGGTAAACGGTTTCCTCTGTCATTGAACACTATTTGGTTAAAAACAATCCAACCCTTGCCACTAGTACAGTGCTGATGATTTTGTTAATTATAAATAACAAAATCATCCGCTTAGAGTGAACTTAATGAGCAAGTCAAGTAACTGGTTTATTATGATTTATATCATTAGCAAAGCAGTGATCAAGTGCATTATAGTTCCTTGTTATTGCGCTTAAACAAACATTATTTATTGTCCTTTATTTCCAGAGACCGAAGAGAAAGATAAAAAGAAAAAAAGTCACAAGTAAGAAAATACGCTTCTTCAAATATCGCAGGAATCATCTATAGTTCCAGGAGATTGCGTTCCCTACTGCCTTGACTGCTGACATCCACAGGCTTGATACAGGGGGACACCACCTCCAGCAATCTGGGTATCGTGTATCTCATCGTTGGGATGTACTCAGACGTGTGCACTCGGGTGTTCATTTCTCACCGAATATTTTACCCGAGTCGCTGGTGGACGGCGGCGAGGCGCGTGATGTAAAGCCTGGGATGAAACCCGTGGCAACTTGGTTAAAAGAAGTTCAGGTTGCAACACATGGTGATTGCTACGAGGACTTTCCCTCTTCCTGAGAGGTCGTTGAGTACTCTGCTGCTTGAGTATTTGGGACATTAATGGGTAGGGAGTTGTGTAAAGAAATACGTTTAGCGATGGTTATTTAGTTTTGTTCAATTCGCTTAAATTTCAAATGTGAAAATTAAAAATCTCCGTTTGACTGTCATTTGCAGAGCATTACTGGGGAGTATTCTCACTATTGTGTGGGTAAAAGACACTTAAAGTGATCTCAAAGCAAGTTTTGTGATTTCTTCTTCCACGGTCCATTGCTCTGAAAGCATTCCGAATGGACGCCTGGTCTCACGACGATGCTGCTAGCACAGTTTGAATACAATTGTAGAGGAAGATGCGTGAAATCTTGAAGCAAATCCTTGTCAAGCGTCCCATGCTAATTTTTCAGGAAAAAGTCAAAGAAGAAGAGGTCAAAGGTTGTGTCTTCCAGCGACTCCTCGGATGAGTCGGAGTCGGAATCTGCCTCGGAGGATGAGCACAATGAAGTGTGGGTGGAGAAGCAGCGTAAGTGTTCAAGTGTCTTTGGTAATTGACAAAAAAAACAAAAAAAAGGGACCGCATTGGCAGTTGTTGTCGTTCACTAGCACAACAAATCAAAACACTCACCATGCATTGTTAACAATCATTTGACTGGTCTGAATTTAGTTCATGTGGGTAATCCGTTTAGATCTGTTGCCTGCTGTAGGTGTGTTACACTGCAATTCAATTAATTGATTCAATTCTTTTTGTTTTACGTTGTGAAAGTTGTGTATATAAATACTAAACAATGCTTATACATGAAGGGTAGAGCGGTGTGGGGTTAAGCCATGGCGCAGGAGTTGGCGCGCTGCACTATGAACCCAATCACCTGAGTTAAATCCTCTGCCACGCCTAACATTGGTGGCGGTGACATGTTGTTGCAGAGGTTCGTGGTTCAAGTCTTGTCGGCCGCTCTGGTTAATACTGCGGGTGTAGCAACCTGCATACGAATCTTCTGCTTCACAGTGGATGTTACAAATTCCGTGATGTTACTTGAAAAGAGAGTAGGCCATGTGTAAAAAATGTTGGCAAACTTGAACACAACTCACATATTTATTGGGTAAAATCGCAGTGACATAACCTGTGAAAGTACAGCAGACTGAGTTAGGCTTGCCCTGTGGGAGCGGCACGGAGACCAGATACGCTAATGATTTGATTTGCGTTACAGGCTCTGAGAATGCAGAATTCTTCATTGGTCCACTGCCTCCTTTGTCTGCAATGGATGGAGGGGACAGACCCATGAAGTAAGTTTTTTGTCACTGTAATTGCATTACCCACTTGACTTAATGGTGCTATCAGAACTTTACAATAGAAGGCGTTTCTGATTGTGTGTTGGCATCGGACGACAAACGTATTGTGTCCCAAGCGTGCAAACAAAGTTCTCTGCGAGTTTACTTTTGTTCCAGGTGTCTCTGTTTTGGTCTTGTGTCCACGTGATTTAAAGCGGATGACGAGAACCATATTTGCCAATAGATGGCACTGTTTGATGCTGTAAACTTTTTTGTAATCAAACATTCAATATTCTATACAGATTCAGCATAATGCGCGTAAATGTAAAACATTTGTCACGCAAAAGTTGACAGAAAACTCATGTACCTTCGTCTGACGCCGTCCTGCTCCCTGCTGCCTTCCCCTCCACCGTCACAGCTATGGCCACGCGCTTCTCCCAGGAGAGGGTGCCGCCATGGCGGAGTTTGTGAAGGCCGGCAAGAGGATTCCGCGCAGAGGAGAGATCGGGCTGACGAGCGACGAGATCGCCTCCTTCGAGTCGCAGGGATACGTCATGAGCGGCAGCAGGTTTGTGCTCCGTCGCGCCCGGCCAAAAAACGGCGTGTCACCCGCCCACTGGGGCGAGCGGTACCAGGTCGTGTACACGCCAGGCGAGTGGTACCAGGTCGTGTACACGCCAGGCGAGTGGTACCAGGTCGTGTACACGCCTGGTGAGTGGTACCAGGTCGTGTACACACCTGGTGAGTGGTACCAGGTCGTGTACACACCTGGTGAGTGGTACCAGGTCGTGTACACGCCTGGTGAGTGGTACCAGGTCGTGTACACACCTGGTGAGTGGTACCAGGTCGTGTACACACCTGGTGAGTGGTACCAGGTTGTGTACGCACCTGGTGAGTGGTACCAGGTCGTGTACACACCAGGTGAGTGGTACCAGGTCGTGTACACGCCAGGCGAGTGGTACCAGGTCGTGTACACACCTGGTGAGTGGTACCAGGTCGTGTACACGCCAGGCGAGTGGTACCAGGTCGTGTACACACCTGGTGAGTGGTACCAGGTCGTGTACACGCCAGGCAAGCGGTACCAGGTCGTGTACACAACAGGCAAGCGGTACCAGGTCGTGTACACACCAGGCGAGTGGTACCAGGTCGTGTACATACCAGGCGAGTGGTACCAGGTCGTGTACACACCAGGCAAGCGGTACCAGGTCGTGTACACACCAGGCAAGCGGTACCAGGTCGTGTACACGCCAGGCAAGCGGTACCAGGTCGTGTACACACCAGGCAAGCGGTACCAGGTCGTGTACACACCAGGCAAGCGGTACCAGGCCGTGTACACGCCAGGCGAGTGGTACCAGGTCGTGTACACACCAGGCGAGTGGTACCAGGTCGTGTACACACCAGGCGAGTGGTACCAGGTCGTGTACACGCCAGGCAAGCGGTACCAGGTCGTGTACACGCCAGGCGAGTGGTACCAGGTCGTGTACACACCAGGCGAGTGGTACCAGGTCGTGTACACACCAGGCGAGTGGTACCAGGTCGTGTACACGCCAGGCGAGTGGTACCAGGTCGTGTACACACCTGGTGAGTGGTACCAGGTCGTGTACACACCAGGCAAGCGGTACCAGGTCGTGTACACGCCAGGCAAGCGGTACCAGGTCGTGTACACGCCAGGCAAGCGGTACCAGGTCGTGTACACGCCATGCAAGCGGTACCAGGTCGTGTACACACCAGGCAAGCGGTACCAGGTCGTGTACACGCTGGAGTGGCGAAGCGGTCGGTCGGCACTCTGCACCGTCAACTCGGCAAACGTAACCTGAGCTTCGTTACCATCCACGGCTAACAACGGTGGCGAGTGATTTGTCTGAACTGGTTGTGGGCCAACTGCCCTGCCCCTCCTTGCACTTCCCACCCATCGAGTTGCACTGCTTGCAGTACGCGGTAGTGCGTGGCAAAAGCTTGAGAGAAGAAATGCTGAAAACCCAGCCCAATCCAGAAGCTTGCTGTGCCCTCCCTCCACTAACAGTACAGGCAGCGCTTACTGCGGCAGTACATTTACTCAAATTGGAACAATGCAGAGAGGATTGGCATGGCCACTGCGTAAAGGTGACATTAAAATTTACAAAGTATTTGATGATTATAGTGCCTTCATGATAGCCTTTGTAATATAAGAAGGGCGCAAATACCAATTGTAATCATTAATTACTTTCGCAACAGCGTTTAGAGACGTGCGGGAACCGTTTTTGTGTTGTTTTTGCACCAAAGGCATCGCCGCATGGAGGCCGTGCGTCTGCGTAAGGAGAACCAGATCTACAGCGCGGACGAGAAACGTGCGCTCGCCTCCTTCAACAAGGAAGAGCGCTCCAAGAGAGAGAACCGCATTCTCGCCGGCTTCCGCGAGATGATTTATCGCAAGACCAACAAGGATCACAAGTAGTGGGGTCCGTTGCTCCCAAGTCTGTCGCATTGTCATCGGGGTTGTCAGTCGGTCCGGTGGTCACGGAATCAATGATGAAACGCAGTTCGATTTTATAACAATTGAACTGATTGGCAACGCGCAAGCTTCACAAACGCGTGGCGGTATTCCGCGAGACCCACAAGGATCACAAGTGGCGGTGGCCGTGATGGTAAGTCCGGCTTGTTTTAACGGATCGGGGTTATTAATCGGCACAAAATATTTTAGCAGCCATCGAACCGATTGGAGCGCACGCACGCTCACGCGGCACGGCGTGTCCCCGCGTGGGTGGTTGGTGGCTCAGTGGCAGTCGTCGTGAGGCACCGCCGGCAGGGCTCGTCTGTCCCCCCGCGTGGAACGTCTCGACACACACACACAGGGGAGGGACTTTTACTGTTGGAAATCTGCGTGCACCAGACGGATAATGATTCCTTTTTTTTTTCTTGCATTTACTGATAAAGCTATAAACGAAGTGAACAACACCTGTCGTCGCGTTGCTTTATTTGAATGTAACATCACAATTGGTATTGAAAGGGCAAGTTGGCTGTGATCTTTAAACGCATTAAAGGGATCTGGGGATCGTTGTGATAGGAAAGGAGGATGCGTGTTGTGACCGGTTGTTGTGTTTCAACGTTGGTGCCTCGTCTCCCCGTTCCGATGTCTGCGTCGCTCGTCCCCTGCTTTGTGTTGGCGCGCGGTCCACGACATCCATCTACCCGCACCCTCGTCGGCTGTGCGCACGTCTGGCTTCAACCCTCTTGCTTTCTGTACATGAGTAAATATTTTTTTGTAGTCTGAAAACATATACATGCAATTAAATCTGGGAAAAGTTATTTCGTAAAGTGTCTGTTCTTGCGAATTATACGATTTTCCTGTGAATTTCAGTAAAATTACACTTACCTAAAGCACTCTGCCCTGCTCCTTCCTTGCCTTTTTCATAAAGCCTGTCTAAATCATTGTGCTAGATTTCCTTTTTTGTGTATTCCAGTTTCCAACAATTTTTCTTTTGTTTGGTGAAATTTTTAGACCGGGAATTTTGTTTAGCGCGTTTGTGCAGCTGAATTTGACAAAGAAAAGCAAACGGACGAGCCTGCCTCCAGATAAAAGTTATCAGTCCGTGCGTGCTACTTGCTACGAATTAACCACGTCCCTCTTTCCCGGGTGGCGGTATTGTGTTTAATATAACCTGACGGCACGTAACAGGCGGCGCTATCGTGATAATCTCCATACATGTAAAGTTCAAAGACAAGCCACAGTGCGATTTTGGCATTGCAACCCAAACTAATGACCTACAGTGAAGCACTGTCGTCTGCGTTCACCGGAGGAGCTCGTTGTGTGTGGGTGTGCGCTTGCAGACCTCGACATTGGCACTTATTGCCTGAACGTCGTGCCATCGTGTGCAAGAATGGAATGTAAACTTACTGCTACATTGTATTGAAAACGTGGGCGCTTGCGGAGAGAACGGAACACGGGCTGAAAAGTGCGCAGAGATGCGTGCTCGGAATGGCAGTGGGAGGAGCGCATGGATGAGAACAAACGCGAATTAGACTTTAGAACCGACTTAGGAAGAGTAAATTATTTGGTGATACTGCTTCGTTGGCAGTGGTGCGCTCGCAGCAAACAAAAGAAAACTCGGCTCGGTAACATTGCCTGCAAAGGAAAATATAAAATGGGCAAAAATGTCTGGCAACGGCTCTTCTCCGAGATGCGCTATGAAAGAGCGCCTTTGCTGGATACGTCTGCTGAGGTCGGACACGTCACCTCCGATTAGCACGGTTGGCTACGTACGGTGTGAAAGAAGTTTAACGTACAATTGTGTGCTGCAGGCGAGTGAGTGGTCATGGAATCATCAAGGGTGCGCCCCCCCCATCATTGATTGGCACGATAATGTTTTATTATTTTCAGACTGGGTCACAACTACCGTGTATCGACTTGAGTGGGAATCGAACGTGGGTCGCTCGATTCGTATTGCAGCCTGTTAACCCTCACACGAGCCATCGCATGTGAAATAACTCCGCCTGAACAAAGCAAATATATAATTAATTATGTGCAGTGAAGAAGGGCCATTGCCCGAAACGTCACATTTTCCTTGAAGGCCACAGCGTCATCTACACGGAACGCGTTGGGTATTGTTGTGCTTGTGTACCAGCATCCCCATATAATTTAAAGTGAAACTGGTTATTTTCAGGTTTCATCTGGGGCGGTGCCTTCTCAGATGGTGGAAACGCACAACAAATAAACCATAACGTAAAACGAAAACATAAAGCGGATCCGCTGCTTTCTCTGTCCCTGCCTGAGATCACAACTGGGTCTTTAAATTAATTCGCCTCTACCGGCCCGAGAATCCTTATGCCCGTTCTGTTTTTTCCACGTTTGCATCTTCGGAGATTTCGATTCTATAGAATGTAACAACGGACGTGGGGAAAGCGCGGAAGCCACGTGGCGATCCCTGGCCTCGAAGCGCACAGCTGCAGCCTCCCCCCATCGCCTCTGGCCGTCGCACGCTGCTTTGTCAGTCACTTGTCAGTCTGCGGAGCGACGAATTGAAATATGAAATTACCAAGGGCTGAGACTGTGGCGTGGCAGGGGGGGGAGTGTGTGGAGAGGGGACACGGCTCCCCCTGCTAGCGCGGCGTCCACTGACACGCTCGCCGCGTAATTTGCTTCGCTGCATCTGTCGTGATTGAAATGCCCGTCATTTGCTGCTCCGAAATAAGCGGTTTCGAAATGTCAAGCAAATGCTCCAGTAGGAGACAATTACTCGTGGAAGTGGAGTCCAAATGCTGCCTCCGTCACCGGGCCGCCCGCCCCGCCCGTTGCGGTGGGTGGATTCACCGACTCCAATTCGTTGGCGCTTTAACTCGACCGAGCGAGGTAAGCTGCGTTGGTGAGGGCACGGCCATCGTCACATCCTGCGGAACTCCCCCGCTCGTCTCCCACTGGACGTGTTCCAGGTCGCCGGCGGACGGGAGTGGGGCTGGCATTGCCACGAGCAGTAGCCGCCGCAGCCGTAGAGACGGGAGGTGCATACTGGATGTGGTGTGCCGGGTACAGGGATGTGTTCCGGTTCGCTGAACCACACGGACCTGGCTCAAATGAAGAAAAGGAGCGCAACGCTTTCGTCAGTGAGACTGCGTGGCCTTAACAGAAAAACAACACGACGCTTGGGCCACTGGGCCGTCTTCATCGCACGCAGAAGTCCAGACGAGAAGTCGTCGATAGACTTGGAGACTTCACCCGGTGACAATGGGGCCTGATGAAAATGACATTTTACAAATGGTTTATGATAACGCCAGTTAAAAAATTAAATACCATATGAATCGTCACACTGTTTGCAGCTGTTGAGTAACGGACAACCATTCAATGATTACTTCCAAAATAAAGTCATAGAAAAAATAAATGTATATGTATCTGGAAGAAAACCCTTGTCGCAACAACCCGGGTTTCTACGTGGGAGCGATGATGAGGAGACTGGACACCGGTCTCGCCTTACGACCCAGTAAACATACAACGTGCCAACGTTCGTATGCGGTTGCGAGCGTTGGCCCAACGTTTCACGTTGACTGGGGAGGTGCTCCTGCAGGAACTTCACACGCGCTACTGCTTCGGTAGTCGTCGTCGTCGTGTCTGCTGAGGATCGGGCGACCCTTGGTCGTGACACCTCCTGACCGAGCCCCACGAGAGTTTTCCGAACGATCGTCCGCCAAGAGGGCCACAGAGGCCATCGGTAACTGGCGTAGCGCTCGTGTCACGTTGCAAGTTTCACATTGACCATACGAAAGAAGAAGACGGTCGTTGGTGTCTCTTGAATTTGAGTCTTTTTCACGGAAAAGGGCCATTGTCTGAAACATCATCTATTCAATATCATCTTCTCTTCGAGGAGGGGTGGGGCGAGCGGGGGCAGCGTCATTTTGACGAAACTCCGTCAATGACCGGACCGCAGTCTCGCCGCGGGTGACTCGAGGCACCACGCGGACACTCGGGGTATATGCGGGCACTGCACATCCATCGGTCGATACCCGGGCCCCGCCGGCTGTAAGGCGAAGATCCGCCGCAGCCCGTGTCAACGCCGCAGCCTTCGCGCGTACACAATAACAACAGCAACAAATAAAATAAAATGTTTCGCTCCGGATGACCGCTGCAAAGTATTATCTGTGTTTTGATTTAGTGTGCTGATCTTAAAGGTGCATTGAAAAAATTGATACTCCGACTGATCCTCCTGTTGTTGTGGAGTGACTCATGCAGCCAGCTGTGGCTACAGGGTTTGGTGTTACATGTTGTTTATGTCGTTTATTGTGAAAATTCGGTCGCAGTTCCTATGATCACTGTTACATTGCTTTTATGGCTTTATTTTGGTGATGTCGAAAAGTTTTTTGGTTTGGCCATGTTTGTTGTTGTACGGAGTTAGACTAATGGCCTTAATGGAAGCGATTGAGGCCATCAGTGGTTGTTGTTGTTTGACTTGCATCCCACTGGGATTTTTGCACACAGCGTTGGTGTACGGTGCTTTTTCTGGAATGTTTTGATGTTTTTTCCTGGATTTTCTGTTTGCACAGTCACATAGTCACTTTAAGATGTTTTCTTGTTCATGTTTTTGTTTTTTGTTTGTTGCGGTTGCACCCGATTCAAGAGCCGAATGGCTCACAGGGCTATACCAAATAAATGAAACTGAAAAAACTGAAACTGAAACAACAACAGCAAAAGGCCACCGTCTTATTTTCGCCGACGCTCAGCAGCGTCCCGCCTGGCGGCTGCCGTGAGAACGGGAGCGGTTTTTCATTTGGCGCCGTGAAGATGTAAAAGGTGAAGATCTCGCGGGGTTATTGATTTCGCTCGGTGAGCGTGGCGGCAGCGCGCTGCGACGCTTTACGTATGCTTCGAGGGAGATGACCCGGCTACAAATGGTGTCAGAGCAGCCTCCATCACGCTGGGATTGATTTGGGGTTCGCCATTTAACTCGAACGCGTTCCTGCGTCGTGCCCAAACTAACTGTCGTGGTCCTTTTAGTCGGCTCATTTCACTGGAAAATTTCAGAGGCGATCCAGAAGCTTTTTTGGTGGAGTGAACCGGTGGGAGGGGGGGTGTGCTGTGCGCTCCCGTGTGTGCGTCGCCACGTATAAGTGTTTATTTCAAAATCCAATTCGGATTTGTTAAATGTTTTGGAAAGTTTTGACAACATGAATCATGTTGCATGGGCGCCAAAAGAAAACAAATTTACAAGAATTAGCTCTTCCCTCGTGCTCAGTGTCGCGGTTCTGCAGTGCGCGCGTGTGGGTGTGTGCGCGTGTGTGCGCGTGTGGGTGTGTGCGCGTGTGGGTGTGTGCGCGTTTGTGCGCGTGTGGGTGTGTGCGCGTGTGGGTGTGTGCGCGTGTGTGCCCGTGTGGGTGTGTGCGCGTGTGTGCGCGTGTGGGTGTGTGCGCGTGTGGGTGTGTGCGCGCGTGTGGGTGTGTGCGCGTGTGGGTGTGTGCGCGTGTGGGTGTGTGGGTGTGTGCGCGTGTGGGTGTGTGGGTGTGTGCTTTCGGGCTGTACCGCTTGTTTTTTTGCTGGCACATTGCCCAACGTTTCGCTCCACGTCCGAGGGAGCTTCTTCAGGAACTGAACCGTTAGTAATCGCAGGGCCAATCTCATCCCCCGAGGCACTCCCACCAGTACCTTCGAGTCATAATAGCAGCGACTGACACGTCTACGACAAAATAACGTCATCATTATTTGTCAATCCACAGCCCGCTGAAGGCTTTCCCACCTTTCAGTCATGCTGTTTTTCACAGTACCTTAGCAGTGTGTGGTCAGTGCGAATCAGTGAAGGGCTGGTTCAGATTTCGCGTTTGATGTGAGCCGAGGCCGCTAATGGAACTCTCGGGTGGCCGCGTTCGTAGCGGAGTGCTCGTCCTCACTCCTGGCAGCGGCAGTGACATTGGCGCTGAGAATGAAAATGCTGCGAATCGGTGAAGTTGCG